CAAACAAGACGATCAAAATCTAATGCATGAGAAGCAGCAGTTGATAGATCATGTTTAGCTGAACGTATGGCTATATATGTTGGACCTGAATAACCTAAATCTCCATCTTCAGATAAAAGACATGCTGCATATACACTTTGTATTAATTGATGTCGAGGTGCAACTATCCAATCATGATCTGGTAAACGTATTCGGTAATCCAACTGCATTACCATTGATGCTTGAATTTTAGCTGCAGGTAAACCTAATGGAACTTTACATTTATCATCTTAGATAAATAAAAAACACAATCATTGTCAAATATTGAAGCTAAATCTTTCACATAACGTATTGTTGCTGTAGCAAAGTGACCATCTTCATGTCTTCCATGATCATCATTTTGAACACGACGAAGACGAACTGGAGCAGTATAAACATGACGGCGACCATCTCTTGATGATGCACGATGAGGTAACAGTCTAAATATTCGAGAACAAAAAACAAAGATTTGATATTAGTGCATATTCATAATTAGATCATTAAAACAAATTATTTGCTTAACCAAAATTTAATAATGAACATTTCAAATAGCACCAGTCTTAAGAGAGTATATATATAATATACATGCAGAGTGTTAGTTTCAATCTTAATTTATTTTCTAATCAAATTTGCATAAGCTTAGGTTTGAGGGCAATCTAAATATAATGATCATCCCAATAACATTCACTGAGTTTTTATTTAGGTCGATTTGTTATCAGGATCATTTTTAATCAACATTATGTGTATGATTTATTTTTTAAATTCAACAAATGAGTATAAAACGAACGATCGGCCGCCCTTCGAAAAATTTCTTTTGTGATACAGTCACCAACAAATAAATCATAGCTGCTGTAAGAAGATCATATACATTTCTGCGTGATAGATATTTTCTTGTTACTGATGAAATTTTTACTATAGAGTTCAAATTTCTAATAAATGCGCAATGTAGTGCAGAATAAATTTACCAATTCTTTGAATGATAGCTCAAAAAATTCCGATACTCATTTTTCACTATCAAATCGGTTGAAAATTTCTTAATTTAACAGAATTGTTGGAAGAATGAAAAAGGCTAATGTAACTCAATGGATGGGTAATGCTTTGTAGAGAAATCAGTTCAATTAAATTTTAATGATTTTTTCGTATAGAAATAAAGAACATGATGATAGAAACTGTGCTTTATATTTTTTTAAATGATTCTGCAAGATGTTTACAAGTTTAAGATCCGACTGCATTTTCAAATTTCTAAGTATTACATAGGGAATTCCTTGATTTTCCAATTTTACACGTGTTCTTTGACAAAAACATCATGAGAAAAGCTTCGAAATACACATAGATCTATACCATTTGTTGTTTTGATTGAAAAGTTGACTATCACGATAGAAATCGTTGAACATCGAACAAAACAAAAACATCGTTTTTGCCTCTGCGAACAAAGATTTCATCACTCGAAATATATTCTCAGCTTTTTGTCTTAAGAAATTATACATGAATTTATAACCCATGAAAAACTGTATCGACTGACACAAAATTCAGAGTGAACAAACTCTTATTTCGTATATTGAGTGATTTCAACTAGATGCTAGCACCATTTTTTAGTAGTATTCAATCAATATTTCAACAAGAATAGTTTTTATAATATTCTTGATAAATGATTGTTATATACGTAGATTTTTGAAGTATTTTTATTGATGATGTAATCGGATCCTAAACTTGTAAACATCGACTAGAATCGTTTTAAAAAAATGTAAGGTATAGTTTCTATCATCATGATCTTAATGATTCCTATATGAACAAATTCTTAATATTCGATTGGACCAATTTCTTCACAAACCATCACTCGTCTTTTCAATAGAAAATAGTCTGAGTTGATAGTATTTTATTTTGAAACTGAAAATCGAAATAAGTTCATCATCAAATTTACTTCGAATATAATTATTAAAAGGCTCCAGTTGTTTTTTTCCTTGCTATAGATGAAAAAACTTATCCAATAGCAACTACTGACGAAATAGATATAAAGTTTTGTTCGGCTCATATCTATTTCGTTTGCTTGTGATCAGCATTTGAATAGAAGGAATCACTCAAGAAATGTTTCGAAATGTTGCACAACATTATATTCTCTTCCGAGTTTTTTAATTCAAACAAAAAGCAATTATATTAAGTTTTAAATATTCAGGATAGTACTACATCGAACTATCATATTTGCAAACATGAACCGGAACCGGTTTTCTTTATCCAAATTTTTAAAAAAGTCAAAGATCTAGTAGTAGAAATCGACTTAGCAAAAAATGTCACCATCACAAAACTAAAAATAATTGTCAAAAATTGTCTATGAATTTGAAACATAATTTTAGTTATTTACCGATAATAAAGTGTTGTTCTTTTAATATCATAACCTCGTTGTTTAATTTTTTCTCTTAAATCATCTAATGTCAAACAAGGTCGAATAGTTGTCGATCGTCTTCGATCATCACTTGCTCCACCAGCTTTTGCAATTT